AAGCCCTCACTCTTCCACCCATGCATTTTTCTTGGTTGCTGTAGACAGTTTCATACTCCTGCCGCTTCTTCAGCCTTGTGAATAAAAGAAGAGGCCATGCTGCAGCTGGTCTAAAGGCATGGTCACTCTTGGGCCTCTTGTATCCTCAGGCTACAGGCAGCTTGGAGAGATCTGGGTCCTCCGGGGGGCCTCAGCGCAGGCGGTAAGGCCGGCTGCAGAACATGTCCTCTCCTCTGCGTGGAGGCTGTGATGCTGGATTCTCTCAGGAGGTGGCAGCACAGCCAGATGAGACCAGCATCTGCAGCCCAGTGCCTAGGACTATGAGGGGCAAGATGGGATTACTTGTTTGAAGGTGGAGCACCTTAGGGGAAGACGATTAGGATGAGGGGGAGAGGAGTGTTAAGGCATAGACAGGATGTATTCAAACCCTTTTCTGAGGCCAAATGAAATCAGCCCAACATCTTGACTGTAATGCACTGGGAACCTTCTCTCCTAATCACATTTCTCAGTATCAACTGCTACAGATTGTCAGGCACAGTGTGGGGCTGGGATGCCCCACTGTGGGGACAGTGTTATTTGTTGAGCCTACGCTGTGTTCCCAGGTGGTACGTTACAAAAGATGACTGTGCTGCCCCTGCTGGGGCAGAAGGCCCCATCTCTCCCATGAAGTTTTACTGATGGATTGCAGAGCAGTGATACTATATGGCGCAACACATATCCATCACCTGGAAAACATGCACAAGAGCAGGACATATGGCTTTATACAGAAACCAAGCATAGCCTGGTCCTGAAACGTATGCTGTGTGTTGCTTATTCTACCCCTCTGGCTCTGTTCTTTGAATTCAGCTTTACTGTGCCCAGCACTCTGGATGAGCTAGGAGTGCTGAAGAGCCTTGGTAGGAGGCTGTCTACTTACTTTGTCAACTTTGAGAAGTTTTGTAGCAATGTGGAAAGACTGCAGATCCTGTTTTGTCCCAGTTATGAACTTATGAATGCTGTTTGTGGGTTTGGGCATCCAAAAAAGCAAAGGGTGCTGAAACTTGGCTACTTGGTTGATTCAGATGTTTTCAGTGGCAGCAGCAAACAGAGGGCCGCTAGCCCTGCAGTTCTTAAAAAGCAATAAAACATGCCTGATTTTAACTCATTGGTTTGCAACTACTGAATGGGAACTAGTCTCACATACCTGGTAATTCCTACTTGCTGCTGCTTAGGGCACCATTGAAATCATACCTCATGCAGGCAGCACTGAGAGGGCAGAGCACAGAAAGATGGCAGCAAGACTCTGACAGCTGTATGCTTGAGGTTTTGTAAGCACTTAGGAAAGCACCACTCACCTTCTTTTTCTTCTGCTCTATGACGGTGCAGTAATGGAAAGGCGTTGCTCTGAAGTGTGTTTGAGAGGGTCCATCAAATGCCCCAAGGAGCTTTACCACAATGAGCAGATCTGTGGCTGCAGTCCATGTCGCCCCTTCTTGCCTCTTGCACCCTCCATAGGGGAGACAGCCCTCTAGGGATGCAGCCACCTGTTATTGGCTGCAGTTGTCAAGCAATGGGTGGTGTGGACTTGTTGATGGTTGTTTTGAGACGGTGGGATGGGAGAGGAAATGCAAATAGTTCAGGCAGTGAGGACTGAAAAGCAAAGCAACGTTTTGTGTGTGTTTTCCCTCTGATTCGGTTAGTGCTGGTGGATTCCTCCACCTGACACATGGGTCTTTCTGTTCTGGTGCCTCTGGAGGGATGAGTTTTGTGAGTGCCACCACCAGGTCTTCTGCCTGGTCCCTGTATGGGTCAGAGCCTGGCTTACGAGCAGCTGCCTCTCACTAATAGTTGCACAACAGTCCAGTCAGTCATATATTTTCAAAGTGAAAGAAACAAATCTTTTGGGGGATATACTTCATGGTGGCTGCAGAAGAAAATGACAGCCGGAAGATGACAACCAGTTAGTTTTGGAAGGTAACTGTCCTGGAGCCACTGGACTGTTGGCAACTACCTTTTTGGAGCAGGTTTTGATACCTTGGAGAGGGAGTTTGTCTCATTTTAATTGGGACTAACCATATTCAGAGCAGTGTGTCCATCTCCCTGCCTTTTCAGCTTGGCAGTCTCCTTTATTTTTCCCCTGCCATGTTCTGGTGATTTGAAAAATGATCCATTCTTCAATGCATCCCTGGTAATTTGGACCACAGTGTTGTATTTCTTCTGAGGCTGACGCTTTTCAAAGCTGCAGCTTGTCTTTCTGCAGCAGCTCTTGCCACCTCTCTATAACATATAGCCTTAACAGGGAGAAAGTAGGTCTGAGGGGCTGCACTTTTCCTAGGTGCAAAGAAATTTGAGGTGACACCACAGTCAACAGAAAGCATTTATTTTTTCAGGTAGACTACAGATAAAGTGAGTAACCAGACCTTTTATGAAGTGAAGGACTAATTAGGGAACACCATCACTAATTTCATTTTGCAAAGCACACTGCCGATCTCTCAATGCAGTTCCCATTGTTGGTATACGTCTATCTGTTTATGTACATATATCAGTAAATATTTATTAAATAAACATGCAGGTATGCATTCTATTCCATACCAAAAGAGACTCCGCAATTCTGTTTGTTATCTTAGCACAGTTAGTAGGTTCCAAAAAAACACACAACCTTTTTAGCAAGACTTAACTGAAGATCTGCATGAGTTTAGTTTAGATCTACTGAGTTAAGGGGGATATTGCCATACTGATTTAGGGCAAAAATTTACGTATTTTTTTAAAAATCTTGCAAATTCTGCTATGAAAACAGCTATTTTGTTGCAGGTGAAGAAATTTTCCCTCAAGCGTCCACCTTTCGTTTCCAAAACATTCCTTTGCAGTGGCCATCACACTATAGGGGCAACAGGACCAGAAGCTGAATGTATTCAGCTTGATTTTATTGCCACCAATAACAGATGCATTGTAAGTGAGCAGCATCTGAGGAACAAGGCAGATAAGTAAAATCAAAACTTTTCATGTTGATAACTAGAGGTGTTACAGTGCGTGTAAATGAGAGCAGGCATTCTTCAGACTTACCTTGACCATGTGTTCGGCTTAGGCCCTGATCCTTCAAGCATTTATGTACATACTTGACTCAGGCACATGCGTCGCGTCTTTCAAATCTGATTCCTATTGAAAATGGGACATCCAACACATTCAATGACGGCATCACCTTGTCCTTACTGCAGGCCTCTACTTTAGTTGAGATTTTACTTGGAAACTTCCAGACACCCCATCCCAGCAGCCACTGGATCTCAGGTAAAAGCTGTACGAGTACTTGGGTGAATAGGGAAGGCAGTATTCTGCATAGATTGCTATAAAGTCAGAAGTACTCCAAGATGCAGTGTGATAGCTCTATTATATAATTAGCTGAAATTCAGTCCTAAGCCCAGATTTCTTACATCTGTACTATGGGGACGAAGCCAGGACTTAGAATAGGTGTGAAACATGATAGGCGAGAAATTTCAAGTCTGCACCACCCTGAATGTAGGTTTACCTGTCTGCTTACTTATCTGTAGCGTGTATGGCACTATGCACCATGTGCCTGGCTCAGCCACTTCAGGTTTCCCATTTCCTCTAACAGTGAAGTCATGTAGCCAGCTCCACAGAGATGAGTTATCTGTGGATCCTTCCCGGGCCTTCAGCTCTAGTGTTGTCACCTGCAAGATGTAAGGTAGAACAGATTTACTGTCAGCTTGGACTCCTGCTTCAGGCAGGCTGAAGAACTCTGGGGCTAAGCCACAGATAGCAAGACATATGTTAGAGCCAGGCTGGGACAGTGCCATTTCACCCAAACGCCTATGGTAAGTACAATATATCTGTAGCTTACCTGCATGCATTTAAGGGAATGCTCTCTCTGGGTTGCTACCACCTCCTCCTCCTCCCTCTCTCCATACAGCAACATGGTGTACAGATCAATTAGAAAAGGACTGACTTTTTGCAGAGACCGTAGTCTGCAAAGACATAGAGTACTTGCAGATCTGGGTGACTTTCCAAGATCTGCTGTTAGCCTGCTGGGGGACTTTCAGAGAACGTTTTGCCCTTAAGTTTCCACAACTTGAGGAATGATACTGACCTACTCTGAAAAGTAGGTTGAGCAATACTGATGGAAAGGAAGTTTCCAGTACCAGCTCCCATGCCTGTTGTCTCCATCTTTTGTGATAGAGTAGGCAGGGTTTAGGTGATGCTAGCACTGTAAGTAAAACTTGTGTTGATTAACTATTTTTAACCCAATTCACCTGTTGAGAGTGGTCTGAGCAGTGTGACTTGTCTTTAGCAATAATGATGTTGTATTAAAAAAAAATTTTAATAAATGAATGGGCTGCAGTAATAACATCGATGACCCTACCTGATTCAGCACCAGCTGGAGATCAACTAGGATGGAAGAAAAACAGCAAGAAGCGTATTAAGGGCTGAAGCCTCAATTCTGCAGTAGGGCGCAGAGACAAATCTCAACTGGTTTCAGCGGCATCTTACACAAAAACCAGAGTCCCCTACGCGAAGCACCTGGGGCTGTACTTAAAAGCCATCCAAACTTTCTGTCAGGTATGCCGCCTCATTGGATTGGCGTCTTTAATCTTTTCTTTTTGGGGGGGGGGAACCCTACGTGCCCTTTCACGACGCCAACAAACCGGGGCCGGGAAA